ATTATACAGCTTACAACGTAGCACATTCGTATATTTACATGATCGTGCAACAACTTATGTACCAAAGAGCATTCTATACATATGGTTTACATATCCCAAGACCATTAAGCAAAACGAAACAAAATTCATAATAGAATATGAGTCAAAAACCAAATGCTCTATCTTGGAGATTCGACCAACAGGTTCACAAAAATAACTCCTGAAGTAGACTCTAAGGTTGACTTCCATGTTGATTACCTACACATATACAGCATAGAGAGTGAGTGACGCTCAATGAATTATAGTAAAGTAAAGAGAATCAAACGAATAATCTTGATTTAAAAGAAAATATATTATGTTAACACATTACTTTTCCACAATTACATCCTTCACAACATTATCCATAATCATATTTACACAACGGTCGTAGGCCCAACATATTACGGAATGGCCTTAGGCCCAACATATAACAGAACGGCCTCAGGCCCAACATATTACAAAACGGCATCGGGCCCACGTATATCACAACAACCTCGAGCCCGTATATTAACACAATGGCCTCGGGCCTAATCGTATATCACAACGGTCTCAGACCCACATATTAACACAATGGCCTCGGGCCCAAGCACATCGTGGCATAAACGAACGACCTTAGGTCTATGTTGCACATGTCATATAAAGCTCATAAAACTCGTTCATTCTGATCAAAACACAATATCAAAATAAGTCACCCTATCTGGATCAAAATAATCGATTAAGAACATATCTTTACAATACTATTACTTATAGTGCGTTTGCTCTTGCGGCATTGCCTTTGACACACGACCTACACAAAACATATCACATACACATTCGATAAATAATTCGTTTCATCTCATACACATTTCTTTTAATAGTTCACAACCTTTTTCAATAGGTTTCTAACCATCATTTCATTTCCTGGAGGGTTTAAATAAGGTTAGGAATGCGTTTGGAAGGCCAAGGAGGTCAGCACGAGAAAGTAGAATTTTTCTCCCATGCTGGCCGCTTGTGCAACTAGTCCAACTGCTCGAGCGGTCAGGTTCCGCTCATACGGAGGTGGTGGCCGCTCGAGCGTGCAGAATGGTTTCCCTAGATTTGGTTCATGCTCCGTTCGTGCGAAGCTAGCAACGCACGAGCAATCTGGGCAGTTCTAAACACTCCAAAAATGGAGTTTTGAAGCCAAGTTCCCAAACTCAATTTCAAGCCCAAATTCATGCAACACTAACTCAAAACTTGATATCCTAACATGAGTCAAGTATAATTTCAATTCAAACACATCAATCTTGCTTTAATGTCAAAATCAAAGTCTCATCTTTGTCCATATATATACAAAACCTCATGATCAAGTTCAAAAATATATATATATATATATACACATGGATAATCCTTACACAAATGCTTGTTGTATGGACAATTTAGGGTTTATTTCATGCATTAACCACAAGCTTGAACTCAAATCAAACAAAGTTGAAGAGATTAAGGTCCAATTTCTTGAATTTAGTTTAAACAATTACATAACTCAAACCCTAACTCATATAAGTGTTAAATTTTCAAATTCCTTTTGATTTCAAGCAAAAGATGAGTTATTTACAAAGATTCTACTTAGATTTCCATACCTTAGCTCAAATTTAGGGTTTGCCTCTTGAATCTCTTCCAAAACCCTAGCTTCTCATCTTCCTCTCTCTCTAACTCACTCCCTAGCAAGCTTTAAACAAAAGTGATGAAAGAAAGAAGCGGAGGCGGTATATACATTGACCCAATTAGCTTAATTAATCATTACAAATCGTAATTTTACAAAATTTCACAGTAGGCTCTAAAAATCATATTGAACACAGGTATGAAATCGGTTTTGGTTTCTGGTGCCTCTAAGGCTTTCAATTTTAGTTCAAAGTTGTAATTACAACAAATATTCCTACATTCGAC